TCTCTGCTATTTTTATTCTGAAAATGTCTTCATTTCAAATTAATCACTAAAGGACAGTTAACCAGGTGCAGTACTCTTGCTAGGTAGTTGTTTTCTCTTTTAATGTGTTGAGTATACCATTTTATTTTTCTCTTTTCTGCATGATTTCTGATGAGAAACTTACTGCTAGTCTTACAGATGGCCCCACTTGCAAGACAAGTTGATTTTCTCTTGCTGCTTCAAAATTTGCCTTTTGTTTTATTTTTATTATTTTCTTTTGTTTTTGACATTTTAGCTATAATGTATTTTAGGAAATAAATTATTTATGGAAATTTATTTGAATTCTTCATGGTTAGAATCTCCTGGGTTCCTCGACTCTATTTCCATCATTCCTTCCTCAGATTTTTAACCATTAGTTCTTCAAATGTGATATCTACCATTTTTCTATTCTTCTGTAAACTCTTTCTTGAATTGTTTGTGTACTGATCTGCTTGACAGTGTTCCATATATCCCTTAGCATTTCCTTATTCTTCTTTAATTATGTTTTTATTAGACCCCTGACTTTATTTCATATGATCTATCTTTGCATTCAGTGATTCTTTCCAACTATTTCTAGCTTTCTCTTTATCCCTTCTAGTGAATTTTTCAGCCTAGCAATTACATCTGTTACCTCCAAAATTTATTTTTACAATATGTTTTTCTCTTTGATAATATTCTTCTGCTGTTTATGCATTATTTTTATAAATATATTGAGCATGCTTATGAGTTATTTTGTTTTTTTTAAATAAAAGGAGGAAAATATTGACAGACAGACAACATTTTACAAAATAGCAAAGGAACAGTACAGACAGTATGGAGTTACAAACAAAGTGGTAGCTAATTAACAATGCTTGTTGTATTACATATTGATATCTTCAAAGTGGTTTCTCATGAAAACAGATATAGACATGCAATGCTTATCAACAAAGGACTCATTGACAGTTTCTTTCAGCAAAGAAATACAAGACAGTAGAACAGCCATGTTGACTATCCTGCATATACATACATACAAACTTTATCCTTATTTCCCTTCCCTTTTCCCACATCCCAGTTGCCCTTTACCTTTGAGTGCTTTCCTATCAATTCACAATGTCTATCATATCTCCTAGTTTAAATTAACTTATAAGAGTTATTTTGAATTCTTTATTAGGTAATTCCTATGCCTCCTTTCTTCAGACCTGTTACTAGTGATTTATTTTCATCCTTTGATAAGATAGTGTTTCTTTTTTTAATGTGATTTTTAATATCTTATTATTTAGAATAAATAAATATACTTCTCTCACTCTTTATGGACCAGTTATATACAAAGAAAATCTTCACTAGTCATCCAAGCTAGAGATGATCATTGTCTGTTGCCCATTTTGTATGAATGGATGTTCTCTAGAATTATGCTTATAAATTATCAGTTACAGAAATTGATTAGTTTAATGTTTGGAGCTTATACTCTTTTGCTCCCCTTGATGTCCATCTGTAATACTACACCTCCTCGGAAGTTGCTACAACCCACCCACATCTCCTTTGTTCTCAGCAGTCCAGCTTCCAGAATGTCTGTAGAGTGAGCCTTTCAAGTTAGAGGAAACAGAAACAATTCCTGATGCATTCTCTTAAAAAGTTCATGTACTGGATGAATGTTCCATTCTTCTTTCTTTTCCCTACAAAGGGAAAGTTTGTCTGGTTGCATTGACCCCAGTCTGCTATGTTACAAGGCCTCTCAAGTACCAGCAAATCACTGAGCTTTCAATTGCCTCCTGATACAGTATACCAAATCATGTTAGCAACCTGAATCAGGAAATCAGTCCCTTGGTCGGACCTCTCAAAGAGCTGAAACATTGGACACATACTTTTCTAGTCTTTCTTTCCCCTGGGAGAAATAGGAAGTTGAGTCTTTCTGCCCCTTGTTCTGTGGTGAACTGGTGGGAGGGTTGACAGTGATGAGAGTGTACTAGTCCAGATATTTGCATTTGGTCTCAGTTTACAGCCCTTGTTTTTGCTAAGCACTGAGATTCAGGCAAGGCAGAAATCAGTCCTAGGGTCAGCTCCCTACTCATGTTGCATCTATCTTTCAGTTTTCTTTCTCCCTTCTGAGGGAGAAGCTGAAAGTTGATATTTTTACACTCTGGCCTGGAGAATGCAATTAGGGCAAACAGTACAGGTTAGACCCAACTACCACATTTGCTCTCAGTGGCTTCCTACCTGAATTCCTTTCCTCTCCATGCATGAATTCAATCAAGACAAAAGCAAACCAGTCAGCAAGCTCTTCCTCCCACAAATGTCAGAACACAAGATGTACCATGTAAGTTTCTGTTTCCTGCCCCTGGGAAACACCAAGAGCTCAAAGTCTTCTTCCAACTATACCATGCTATGGCCGGGGCAGGGAATATGGTAAATGATTGTTCACCAATTTTCTTTTTTCTTTTTTTCTTTTTATATGGTTTCCTTTATCATATGCTCAGTCAGTTTTAGAATTTTAAGAGACTTGGACAAGTAGTAAATATTTCTTTTCTTAAAAGGCAAATAATATAGAGGTCATCTGTGGTGAGTCAGACATAAAATGGAAATTTACAGGCTGAGACCTGTTTCATAAACTCCACTTGAAAAAGCTTATGTGCAGTAAGCAGATGTCTGCTTTTCAAAGCAATCTATAAGCAAAAGGAAACTACAAAAGGGGAACATTCTATATTGAATGTATATGCATATGCACTTCAGTGAGTAAATCACATCAAGAAACTGAATGAATGAAAGAGAAAAATATTCATTTTTACAGAGGATGAGTCTGGCACAGAACAACTACATTAATGAGTTAAAAATCAGCTGCAAGAGTATTGTTACCTGGTATTTATATATACAAAGAAAACATAATCACTCCTGTGGTATTAGCTGCAATAAAATAAACAGTACAGCAGCACCTGAACCTAATCATTAAACCAAATCATTACGTGAAGTTCAAGACATAGTGTGTTTCATGTTCTATAAATATCAATACTCTCAAGTAATATTTCCTTAGCTTATTAGGAAATATTTTATAATTCTGATTTGTTTCAATACTTTCTGGTGCATTCAATGCAATGAACTTCATACCTTCATATGTGCATTATTGGAAGACTTTCTATGCAAAACTGATGGAACATCCAGATGGAATCTCTGTATGTTCTTCTTCTGCATTGGTAATAGAGGACTTATTTCCATTAACAACAGCTGTAGGGAATCTATATATTCCATGGTTAACTATCGAAAAAGAAAATCTTCTAAATTGTAGCTCATAAATTCATGGTGAATATTGTCCATGGCAATAAGATGCTGTGGTGAATAGGCTGGAGAGAACACTCCAGCATACTGATGAAAAGTGTTTTCAAAAATCTTGACTATCATGACAAGGGAAAAAACCAAAAATGAGAAACAAACTCAAATAGGCAAGCACATCAGGAACAGAGCAATAATGGTTAGGATGGTCCACACACTTCAGGAGAGAGATTGGCCAACCACCTGCCCCAGGACGGGTGGATGACTTACCTGACTTCTTTATGCTTCTTCAGACAGGCAAGGCTATCTCAACAAATCAAACATTTATCTTGAGAATTTACTTAAAGTGGTATTAGCATAACCTCTTTACACACTTCCACACCCAGAGGAAGAACGACATTGTGACAGTAAAAATGCCTGGCTTTCATTATAATTGAGACTCAAAAACAATGAGCTCCTACCTGGAGACCAAAAATGTCAGTTTTTCCTTTGTGAGTTTTAGGTGTTCTCCCCTGCCAAGAACAACAGTTTCTGCTACAGAACTAGAAATACAGGTTACAGTTATGTGTCCCTTTCAAACCATGTGCACCAAGCCCTGCTTGTCACAAGCCTTTGGAAAGGACTGAACTCAGCTGTCCTAAATGTAGCTGGAACATCTTGTGCTTCATTCTGGAGTCACTCCACAATTAAGTGAAGCAGGTAAACAAAACATTCATGCTTCCTCTCAAAGCAGGAGACAAAATCTGTGGGGATTGCAGAGGTGAATTTCTTACAACTGTTATGTGATATAAACTGGAAATCTGGGCTGGGGCTGAAAGTAGCAGTATCTTTCCACTTCACTGCAGATATAAGTCACTTTGTATTCCAGGTTCAGACTAAGGAATTTTGATTTTCTGGTTGTGAGGAATGCTCCTAAACTGGCATTTTTAACAAGTTCCTGAAACTCATTATTAGTAGGACAAAACTAGAGAAAGAAGTCAACACGAAGCAACTTACAACCAAATTTCTAACAACTCTATCTGTGTCTGGTTTCATTCCCATTTAGTATGCAGGAGCATTCTAACTGGTTTTATAAACTTCACAGAAGGAAGTGTATTGTTCTGGTTCATGTATTATTTTGAGACAGTTTTTACCTGGGGAAAAAGAGGGTCCATAGCTTCCTATTCTACCTTCTTCTACAGTTATTTTTAAGTCCCGGTTTTCAGTACTGATTTTTTAAAACTAACGTTTTTCAAAAATCCAAATCGTTGTTTATTAAATCAAATAGTACAGCTTTAAAAATGAGTCACAATAAGAAATCCACATTCTGCCTTGTAGTAAATGGCTTCCTAAGTCAAATAATTGTAAAAGTAAATTGTAAAAGTAAATTGTAAAAGTAAATGGCTTCCTAAGTCAAATAATTGAGTATACATTGTAAAATATCCTCTTATATTATTTTAAGTCTAAAAATGCCAAAATAGGCAAACTACCTAAACCTCACTGGCTATATGAGCAATAATTCTTTAATTCTTCGTATTCCTTAAATCACTTTTTGTTTAGTAATCCATAGGAAAGGAAAGTAAGTATCAAGGGAAATATTCATTTTTTAAACAAATAGAGTAAAAAAAATCCCAAAATTTATCTAATTGGTTTTGTAGTCATACATGATGTAGAAATCATAATAATATAATGTATACTTCTATAAAAATGTATATCTTAAAATTATTATTTATTTTTATTACTTTTTGAGACGGGCATCTCACCATGGAAAGCAGGTTGGTTTCAAACTCCTGATCCTCTTTCTTTAGCTTCTGGAGTTCTGGGATTGCAGGCGTGTATCACCACATATGGCTTTTTATTCACATTATTTTAAGAAAAAGTATTTCTCCAACAGCTTTTGATTACTTCAAAGCAAGTGTGGGGACGGGATTCAGCCTAGTGACAGGGAACTTGCCTAGCAAGTGAGAATCCCTGAATTCAATCCCCAGTACTACAAGAAAAAAAAAAGAAATGTGGTTTTAGGTCAATCATAAAACACTGGTCCTTAATAAAATTATGCCCTCTATCACTATCACGCATAATTGAATTTAAATAGTAAAATTTGTTAGTTTAGGATCTCTAGCTTTGCTGTGAAATTTAAATCAGCCAATTAAAACTTCAAACATGAACATCAGCTGTAAACGGCAAGAAATAAGAACAGGAAAGAAGCAATTACTGCAATTCTAAAGAAATAAAAGTTTAGCCAAAATAAAGAAGCAAAGTGAAAAAGTGCCTTGAAAGTGGCAATGATTCATGATGTGGATGGCAAATAAAAGTCAAATGTAAGAGCATAAATACGTAATATGAAATGATAAAAATAAATCAGAGAATGTGGTGTTGATATTTGTAGCAATGCTAATTGGAGACTATTCACAGTTGAAAAATAAATGAGTTTTAAATAATAATAAATGTATTACATCTGATTTAATGAATCCATATCTTTCCTTTCCTTTCCTTTCCTTTCCTTTCCTTTCCTTTCCTTTCCTTTCCTTTCCTTTCCTTTCCTTTTCTGTTCTTTTTTCTTTTCCCTTCTCTTTTCTTTCTTTTTTTCCCTCCAAGGTGTGCCAGTGGGGGCTAAATTCTCCCACTATCAACTAACAAAGCCCTTAGCTAATGAAAACCCATTATGTTGAAGTAGGCTATCCATGCAATAAAGCACTAATCCTGATGGCACGGTGTTGTTTTGAACCTTACAACTCCTGCTATTTTTCCTTTCCTAAAGGGAACTTCATGGCATCATGTATCAGGGAGAAAGAATTTAAACATCCTCTTATTTTCAGTCTTTATTTAGAAACTTTTAAAGTCCTTTCCTGCCCTGGGGGTGTTCCTTTTCAACTTCTAAACGAGGCTTTTAGAATTTTGGGGCAATAAGCTTGAGGAGGACAGAACAGGAGGGAGGAGAAAAAGGAAAATCCGATCAGTTTAGATAAAATCTGGTGGAGATTACTTTCCCAAAATGGAGTTACAACACAGTCCACCGTGCACAAAGTTAGTTTTGCTGTTTGCTTGTGTGTTTGCAGTTTCACAAAGAGCATAAACACATAAACCTGACTTCGTCGCTGCTTAGCTGGTCAACTGAGCTTTGGACAACCAAGCACAGAGTGAGGATAACACGAAGAAATATTAGCTAAGTTCAGATAGAATTTACGTTCATGGAGCTTTGAATTACTACCATAGCTCTAATATGGGAAAATACTAAATTAACAATGATAACTCCAGAATATAATTGAAAATAAATGCAGTATATGTGTCTATTTTGTGTTTGTTTATCGAATTTTAAATACTGATATTAGAAATAGCCTACAATAGTAAATAGCTTAGACCTCTACTAGACCGGAAAAAACAGTTTAAATTCTGTGAACCTGGATACACATACTATCTCTCCTTAAACCTCAAAAAAAGAGAATATTTCCATTTTTTCACAACTAAAGAGCATAGTATCTTTTAGGAAAATAATATAAATTATGTTTTTAAAACTAGTTTTCTAAAACTCTCACACTGCAACTAAATAAGAACAAAAAAGGAAAAGAGGGGCTGGGGATTTAGCTCAGTGGCAAAGCGCCTGCCTGGCAAGCGCAAGGTCGTGAGTTCAGTTCCCCGTACCGGAGAAAAACAAAAACAAACAAACAAACGGATAAGAAAACTTCTAACCAATCTCTTTTGTAAATCTCAGTGAAAATAACATTCTAAATAAAGTAAGTAAATGCCACATTTTAAGAATAGTGCTTTATATAAGGATATAGTTTGTTCCTGTCCATGGCGAGGTCATTCCACATTACTCCTTAATGGCTGAAAAACAGAAAGAGTTGTTTGTGATCTCTGTCTGTTGGGTTCGTAAATAAATGAGTTGGATTTTTTGCCTGATATATATTGTGAATAGGGTTGCTATGTGAAATACATGATTCTTCATTAAATTTGAACTTAAGAAAACCAATAAATACATTTTAGTATAGATAAATACTACATAAATATATTAATACTAAAACAAAATTGTTTTTAAATATGATGACTTTAATTGTAAAAACTACATGAACTTCTGAATATATAAATGTACTTAAAGTGCAAATATATTTATATAAAGATGTATCTGATGCTTACTACATAGCTCAAGAAATAGAACATAGCCAAGCTTTTTAAATTGAGTTCTTTGACTGTCATAGACAGCATAAACACATTCCTCCACCTTTAGGTGAACAATGAACTGAAATAATTATTTCTATACATTTCAATATGAGTTTTCCAATCTTGAAAGTATCTTATATTACATGAAAGCTTTTGTACTGGCTATATTCTTGATTTACTTTGACAAGATCGTTTGTACAGATTGTAAGATGCATATGGGATTAATTATTCAATGCAATATAATATATAATTTGAAGTATCAGAATTTATTAATGTATGCTACTGCTCATAAGGGCTATCTGTAATTTATAATACATATTTAATTTGTCATTTTACTAAGTTTGATATTTCTAAGATAGAATCTACTACATGTACTATATATTGACAGTATATAAGTCGATAAAATTCAAAGCATACATATAAGTAACATACATATAAGACTTCCTGAGGAGGTATGAACCTTCAGATTACATCCCTTCACTTCTTTTACTAATGAAGACCCCACTAGAAGCTCCATCCACAAGCTGGAAAATAGCCCAGTTCCAGACACCAAGTGATGATGGCGCTAGCGCCATTCATGAAGGGTTACCATCACGACCGCTTCACGTCCTAAAATTCCCATTCACTTAATACCATCACTTAGGAGTCAGAATTTCAATACATGAATTTTGGGGAAACACAAATACTCATTCTATTGAATATAATAAAAAGTGCACCAATTTTCACTTCAAGTAGACAGTACCTAATGAATATTGTGCTATATTCTCATTAACACATTTTTTCATGCAATAATATTTATTGAATGAGTTCTCCATACCTGGTTTTGTTTTAGGTACTACTTTTCTTTAAATAAACTTCTTCTTTTGGGATAAAATTGAATTACAGGAAAATTACAAACATAGACTTTCTCTTCTCTCCTCACCCACATTCCCTTAAAGCATATGTATTTTTGCCTATGTGATGTGTATGAAATGGTATCTTATTTTAGTCTAAAATTCCATAAATACTAATATGTAAGGACATTTACATACACATAGGGAAAGAAGAAGAAAGAGAATTTAGAGTTTCCTTTTGGACAAGGTTTATTTATTCATCTTGAAGACATTTCTATGATTTTGTTAGCTCGTGTTTATGAAACTATATAAAAATAAGTAAATATTTTTAGTTAATGTTTTGCAATCCTTTGTCCTGGCTCATAACTTGTTTTTTTAATTTTATTTTTTAAAAAAATTAAATATTTATCTCAAAATGATTGTCATGTACACATATTCTAATGTTGAATAAACCTTCCTCATCTGAAACAAATTACTGATCGTGACATACAATACATACTCTATATGTGAATATTCTCAGATTGTGTGGAGGACCGCCTGGGCGACTTTGCTTGAAGAAGAAGCAATTGTCTCCATTCTGACTGAATCTGGCCCTATTTCCATGTATTGATGTGTGCAGCCCTGGCTAGGACTTCTCCTTATCCCTTCTATTGGCCTTAAGCAATGCTTATCGATCCAGCCAACATGCTGGTGTGTACTCTCTGAAGCAAAGAAGACAGGGCAGTGCCCCTGCCCCATAGCTCCCAAATAAAATGTGTGAACCAGGGTGAGGGGGGATACAGAGCCTTGCTCCATGCTGTTGGCTGGGATCCAGCCTCAAAATAAAAGACTATGGCTTCCCAGGGCATAAAAGATTACATGTTAGAGCTGACACACTGACTCCAAAACATCACATAGTACCTCAGTAGTGTTATGAAGATTATACCTTCTACATATCTTTCTCTGTGCATATTGCAGAGGTGAGTTCAGGCCTCCTACCTAGCCCAGCTCATAGTAGTTCCCACTATTCTCGTATTTATTCATCCTTAAGCCACCCCGTTCTTCATGAATTAATAAAATCCGGGTTCTGTCTTGGGCCAAGACCTTTGTTCTGGTTAGCCATCACTGTAACTGGACTCAGGACTCCCTTTATTCCTGATATATTTTGGATATATTATTGTGTATAATATATTTTGGATATATTATTGTGTCTTTATTTACATGATGAGTTGCACTGGCAGTGGTAGATTGGATTTAACTCAATAGGATCGCAGTAACTTTTCCATGGGGTTACAAATATAAACTTCCTGGCCCTTGATGAGGACCAGGAAGTGCTCTCTCTAAGTTTGTTAATGCTTAGTTAAATATTTTTATCTGTATTTATTAGTGTCCTTATTTCATGTAGGTCCCCAGGTCATTAGTAGCACAAGTTAGAATGTCTTTATTTTGCTTAATATTGCATTAATATTACTTGCATCTTAAAAATATGACAACTTTTTCACTTACTATGACCTAGTCTTGGGAATTGTGAGCATTGTCACAATAAATATGTGTGTGCTCTTTTGTATGCTGGCTTCCTTTTCTTTGGCTATAGATCCAGAAGTTACAGAATCTACCTAAACCCTAAAGGCAGATAACAGTGGAATACTATTAATTTATTTAAAAGAGTGAAATATTATCATTTGAGGAAAAATGAATGAAACTGTATGTTAAGTGAAATAAGACAGACATAGAAAGACAAGTACTATACATTCTCTTTCATATGTGGAAGTATGTAATAATAATGAACTATCACCTGGATGTAGAATAGTGATTGCTAGAGACTGAGATGGTAGTGGAGAGGGGAAAAAGAAAGTCAGAGTTAGTAAATGTATACTGTTTCTGTATATATACTGAAATATAACACTAAACCTTATTAATGTGCACAGTTAATATATGTTAATCAAAAACAAATATTAGTTTGTATTTTTATAGGCAGATTCTAAATAGAAATCTAAATTGATTAGGAATAAGAATA